AAAATAAACTGTACATTTTTAAAAATAAACTTTTTTAGAAAAATCCCGTTGAAAAGTTGTTAAGCTCACTTTGTTAAATAAATTCGTATTTAATCGATTTATTGAAACACGGAATTTATTTTAAGTTCGTAATAGCTAAGTGCCTACGTTTCATGGCGATGTGAAAATGGAGTATGTAGAGTAAAATCTCGCTTTCTTAAAGCCCATTATGTCTCAAAATGACGCTATTTCGTCACAAAACATAAAATAAAAAAGATTATAATTCGAATTTCGAAAAAATCGCCTCGAGGTGCACTGGCTCTTGTCTAGATGCACCCTATGTACCAAATTTCATAATCGTGGGTCTGTTAGCTTATGCGCAGCGCGAACGAAACACACACACGCTGACACATATACAGACTCTTTCTTTTATTATATGCAGAGACGAATAAATTTCTCCTCTTAAATCAGTGATAAATTTTTAACACTTTTTTCTTATAATATGTTTTTCAAGAATTTCTTTCCTGAATTTTATTAACTATGGAAAACATGATAAAGTTTTTAATGCAAGATTTTTTTTAAAGATTTTGTAAGGTTTATCGTTAAGTTTTTAACAGTTATTTTAAGTTAAGCTCCTTTTTGACCATTTCAAATTTCAGTTTACAATTTCCTAGCAGAGTGTGTTTTTGGAATCGCGTTTAATGCAAATGAGTAATAGTAATATTCAAGTCGAAGTTCCCCTGACTTCGAGAGAGAGCCTTAGAAGTTCTGACTAGCTCGCGTTTGCCTCTTGACCATATCTCTCTAAGTTGTTACTACGCTTGGTTGTATTAGGAGCCCTTGATAGGCTTCGCTAGCTACTTCGATATATAAAGGGCCAACTAATTAGAATTGCGATAGCTTCGGCTATATCTCTAGCTAAGTTTTTATTTCTTACTTTTGAGTTCAAGCCCAAGTGGAGGCTTAGCTGTACGCCCTGAGAAAGGGACCAGCTGTTCATTCTTATTTTGAACAATAAAGGGTAACTAACACTTCTTGAGTTTAAGTTTTTGTTACTGAACGTAAGCAATTATTCGCTTAGCTCTTCACTAGGTTCCTCCACACTCATTTTAGTGTTAGATAAAAGGGTGGAACCCTACAATTGTTTTCAAAAGATTAATTATCTAATGTTCTTATGAATTCTATGCGCAAATATGATTATTAAGACAAGCAAAGAACATTATAGTAAAGACATAAAAAGGATAAATATCAACATTTTACTTATGCATTTTATAAAAATTTTAATGACCCTTTATTATTAGCAAATAAATTGTTCTGTACTCTGCTTTCAATAGATATATGAATAAGTGACTTCATTGCTCAGACTTTGTCAACGACAGGGGCAATCTTGCTCCCCTTGGCGCGATGAATTTCGTGGTCTTGTCTTGATGTCAGTGTCAGGTGAATGAGATAAGTCACAACACAATACAACACATATGCATTCGTGCGGTATCATTAAAAGTCCTATTATTATCAGTTTGAAAACGTAATAGGTAGCTTTATTAAATGGACATTATAGTAACTTGAATAATATTTGACTAGGCTATTTGAATATGGCAAAGCTTGGAAGACTTTCTGTCTAAATGAATGATGCCTTCGTGGAGGACTTTTTTTTGGAGAACTGACTCAGATTTACAATAAAAATAGGGAAATCCACGAAAACCAATCACACAGCAAGTCTGTTCTCCAAGGAAACAGCACAGTTAACAAAACTGCAACTATAACAAAGTGAAAGGAAGACGATTTTTGTTACAACGCCGTTAGTAAGAGGCGACAACACAACAGCCTACTGAATCCAGTGTTAGTAAAAAGGCCATAAACCAGGTGGCTCTTGCAACCATTTCCTGTCTTTGTTACACTAACTGTATCAGGAGCTACCAGCTAAATAAGGCTTTTAACAACTTAAAAAATACTCCTTTTTCCTGATTAAAATATACATGAGTACAAAAAAAAAAAAAAAAAAAAAAAAAAAAAAAAAAAAAACTAGAATAATGAAATAAAAAAAAACTTAAACATTAATATTAAGACACAAGAACACGCCGAATAAATACTAATTCGGAAGTCAAACAACAAAAATAAGCGTTAATTTTAAAAATTCGCGACACAACATTATTTCTCTGAAATATTCCTATTTAAGAGACTGTGAGACAACAAAGTGCAGATTTAATTTCCAGTACTGTTGCAAACTAATTAACGGATATCTATATATCTGTATTATTAAATTATGTAGGATTGTATTTATGCCGCCAAATTTTGAATAGAAGTATTTCTCCACTTGAACATGTGCACCTCGAGGCCCGAATTTCGAATTTTTTTTTTCCATTTATTTCGTATTTGTGTAAAACTTTCGATTTATGAGTCAGCCATTTGAAAGATTTTTGTTGCCAGTCTGCTAGAAGTAAGATCATGTTTCAAATTTAATCAGAAAACTTAGCTATAGAAAAGAAGTATTCAACCCCTCGGCAAAACGCAACGTATTAGTTTTTATCACTGAATCAACAAATTCAGCGATTTAAAAGAATTGTGTTGCCAATACTCAAATTAAAATATTTTCATCTTCTATGAGGCAGTGTGGTGTTTTCAGCAAACTTGTTTAATTTTTCTCTCAAATTTACTATGTTGCTCAATAAAAAATTAAGCTATTAAATGCAGATTCATTTTAATTGTTATTAATTACTAGGAACTCTCTGGAATTATGTTCGTTAGATTCATTAAAATCATTGTAAATGTATCTTCCTTTTGATGTTAATAATAGCTATTTTAGGCATCCAAATATTTAAAGTCTAATATAAGAGATTGCTTGAGATATTTTTATTAACAGATAATGGGCCACATAGCATTTTCTCTGAATGTAATCTAGAAAATGGAGCTCACCCTCAGATCTCAAATTGATGAAATAAATAAAGAGTGCTTTTAATACTATGCTTCTGTCTCTATATATCAAACTTTAGAAATGACATACACCGACAGGGTTTTAAAATACTTTTTTTCATAAAATCATAATATGTAAAAGCTGCTTGTAATTCACTCAAGGACCTATCATTAAAATCGCATAAACGAGAAAGACGCATAGTAGACCGTCCAGTTTGACACATCTACTTTAATTGTGACACATCTACTTCTGAATTTTATTGCTGATACCACACTACACAGCTACACTCCTAGACGGTATAGTGATTAGGACAGGCTACTGTAGTACCGAAAGGGCATTGTTTCGAATACCGGAGAAGGCATGGGTGTTTGTGAATGTATAATGTCTTTGCGGCATGGAGACCCTCTAAATATATGACGAGCCGAAAGTCCTCTCCTGTGGTTTGGTGGAAGGGGAGAGCCTGGAATCCCCCCCGGGGTCCTTTTCCTCAAAATTGGGGTGGAAGTAAAAGTTCAACCTCTTTAGGGCTCTGGCAACCATTCTTAAATTATATTCATGGACAAGCTAATAACAACATATCCATTTTAAAAATCTTAAAAGTTCAAAAGGTATGGTACTTAATTTTAAAATGAAATCCATTCTACCTTAGGAAGGTTTTAACATAGATGCGGATTTTAGTTTTATCTAATGTAAAAGCAATTTTCAGGTGTTTCTTGATGCCCATTAAGTATGAGCTTTAAGCAAAGCAATAAGAGCGCAAAAGTTACACAATAGTAAAGTTAAAATATGTGTACACATGACATAGGAAAGAAGTATGGCCCATCACAAAAGTTACTGGTCATGGCACTTAAATTTGATCTCTTCTAATTTTTCGAGAATCATCCCTCCAACCATCATCCAGATTCAAATCTTTGTCATGCGATAGCCCATTCCTTTCCCCTGTGATCTAATGTAAAATTTTTAATTACTACACAAAGAAAGAAATGACTTAAGAAATTGTTTAAACAGCGAAAAGAAACGGCGATGACTATGTCAGGTATAAATGATGTGCAACGGAAGATGTGCTTCTTGTAAATGAAATATTTTACTATTAACATAAAAATGAATGTACCTGGAAAGATATGAAATGGTTTCAAAATATCAAAGGTGTGTAAAAGAAAAATAATATAAGCAATGATTTTCTTTTTTTTATATATGAAGGTTTTTATAAAATGATGCCATTTTTATAAATTATGTTAACTTCAGCATTTTTGCAATCAATAGAATCTATTATAGCATATGCTAATAGAATATCGGATGTATTACAGGATATGCCTTCTGCCCAATAACTTCAATTTGTATTAACCCAAATGGCATTACCCAAGAAGGCCTATTAGTGACAAAACGGAATATTGCTTTGAATCACTATAAAAGTTTGAATCACTTTTCAGATTGCTGCTACCAAATATTATCCGTCTGTATTATATATAAATAAATTAAATAATAAAAAAAAATTTGCATGAATGTATGTATGTTTCTCGCATTGGGGGGGGGGAGAAAACAACGTAGACTAAAGGCATCATATTTTGAATGACGTAGCCCTCCATCCAAATATAAGAACCTGGAAAACGAATTTGAAATGTGTTTTATTGTTCATTTCATATTTTGTGAAACTTTAACCAATATTTGATTAAAAAATTCAACAATTTCAAAGCGAGCAGTGTCAAAACTGCAGAGAAAAAGAAATTCTAAAGATATGTTGTTTTTAAATATTTTCAGCCCAAAGCGGGGTTATCACAAATGATCTGGAAACATGTATGTGTCTGTAAATGAAAAAAAAGCAAAAGAACTCCCGTTTAAACATAATATAAAATCTAAAAATTTTTCAGTTTGTTTTTTTGTGTTTCTTTTTTTATTACTTTAAATTATCAGATAAATTCTAACACTTTTCATTACTTATATGCAATTCATATTGCGTCAGATAAAAGTGTAACTTTACGTGCATTTAATTGCCAATGCGAGTAGTTATATTTTTGTATGATTTTTTAAATGCATTTAATACCCATTTTATATATAATTAACAGTTATTATATAAATTGCAGAATTTGAATGTATGTGTTTACTTTAACAGGTAGCCTGGATAAAAATGGACACTCAGACTTTGCTCACTATTCACAAGCGTGTAATTACACGTGATAAAAGAATAAAAGTAACTAACAATAATTTACAATGGAATCTGCATATCAAAGAAGTAGATGTAAATGACAAAGGTTATTACATGTGTCAAATCAACACAGAGCCCATGGTCAGTCAGCTAGGATATCTTGATGTATTAGGTGAGTAATCCTCATTTATGTTTTCGTTTACTGTAATTTGATTTTTAATTACTCTTTTAGTGATGATTACTATGTCTATGCATTTAAAATAACTGTGTTATAAATTTAACTCTTCCTTGTTTCCATTTCTATAAATTATACTTATATAAATAGATTGAATGCGAGATTAATTAGTTTTAAACTACTCATATAAAATTTGATCTACTGAAGTTTATTACAGAATGTAAAGTAAAATTTTTGCGAAATACAGACACTTCATTTGGTATATACACTGTTTTAGCATGATTAAGTTTCTTAGTTATTGAAGCAGATAATTTAAGATTCCATAGTAACTAGATTTTATCCATACGTATACTACGGAAAGCATCATTTTAACATCATTCACTTCTAATGAAAAAAGCCGAACATTTTTACTTCCTTGTGAGAAGTAAAGGAACTATTGTAATCACAAAAAAATTCGGGTAAACTATTTCAACGAAAATATCCAATTTGTCCGCTCTCAATTCCATTTGAAAGACGTTCTTCAGTTATCTGTACGTACGGACAGAAAGAGGTCTCTTTTTCCCAAAACGAATTGTGAAATGGATTTAAAATGAATTCAGAAGAGATAAGAGATTTTTCCGTGACGTCTGTACGAACGTATGAATGTATCACCATAACTCAAAAGTGAGTAGCCTCAGAACGTTCAAATTATGTACATGAGAGTGCTATAACAAGTAGATGCGTATCTCCCATTTTGGTTGCAATTGGCCGCACCAGACATACATAAATGCATATATATTCATGGAGCTACAGCTCCTGGTAACTTTTTAGCAAGGTATGCTACAATATATATATACCTGCGGTTATCTAATATATTCTTTTCTTATATAAGTTCATTTAACTTTAGGTTATAAATGTTTTTTGCGAAAGTTACTATAATGTACTATTTAAGGCTAAGATTTTTTACGCCTTTAAGTAATGCATGCAATAACATGCCAATTTAAAGTTTACTAATTCAGAAGTCAAACAACAAAAATCAGCGTTATATTTATAAAATTTTCACAGGACTAGTTTCGATTGTTTTACCGAACCACCATCCTCAGCTGCAAAACCGCAAATGAACAAGATAGGAAATAATGATAAGATAAGAAAGCCTGGACAAGAATAAGCAAGCGGCGCCATCTGTTGGTGAAACCAGAACTGAAATATAATTTCTTTAATGGCCGAAGGCAAATTTGGATTGGAATTAGGATCGTTAACTAGAACAGAAAGATTTTTATGAATGTGAAATGCCTCTGGAAAATCCAGTTCTCCAATGGAAGACGTTTTCTGAATAATTTTGGCAGCAGAAAAATTGAAAGTGTGATTTTCGGACCAACAATGTTGAGCAACAGAAGACTTCTGTATTTCCTTTTTTCTAACATATGCCTCATGTTCCTTGAAGCGAAATTTTTATGCTCTCTTAGTTCGGCCAATGTAAATTAAACCACACTGGCAAGGAATCATATAAATACCCGAGGAATTCATATCCGGAATGGCGTCCTTGAGTATGGAACTCTGAATTTTATTGATGGGAGAATAAACAACCCGAAAGTTAAATTTCTGCCAAAATACGTGCAACTTTATAGCTAATTGATGGAAAGAAGGGAATGACAACAGAATTTTTATAATCTCCTAAAACAAGAGTGTGCCTTTTAGTGTGTTGAGATGAGAATTTTTTAACTGCTTGATTAATAATGTTGGGTGAAAAGACTCTGTCAATAGCTATTGCTTTTAAATAATTTAGTTCTTCATCAAGGGCTAGTTTGGAGGAGCAAACTTGAAGGGCACGGAAAAAATAGGAATAAAATCGTTTAAGTTCCACTAAGCCTAACGAAGCCGCCATTTGTTTACATTTGAAACTTAGGAGCAGAAAAGCACCATCTTCAGTGCCTTTTTGCCGAGTGGGACCAAACGTTTTGTGCACCGAAAAAAAACCCTGTCTTTCTGTCTAATTTGAATTATTTTTAATTATGTTTCTAAAAATTGTTTTTTAACGGTTTTTAAGGTTAATTCGTGTTTTAGGTTTTTCTGCATTTTTACAATTTTTTATGAAGACGTTTTGAGATTCTATGTAATTTTCCTTGCTGGGAAGTGAGAACTGAATTGATTGAATGAGAAATATATCTCTTAAGAAATTCGAGGAGAAAAGTTTACATCAAATGCAGCAAAAATGTGCATAATTTAACCCTTTGCGGCACAGTGTGTCCGGTCTGCACACACCTAAAAATTTACTTCTGTACGCCAGAAAAATTGAATGAAAAAGGATTTATCGGTTACATTTATAGGTTATATTTATACAGAATCGGTATAAATATAACCTATAAATATACGTTACTCTGAACCTTCTTTATTTATAGTAGATGGCAGCTCAACACAAACCAGTCCGTATATTTTAGCCATGTTTAGTTTTTTAAGACCCTCATTTTTCAAAGAAAACTTCCAGATTTTTTAAGGGTGTAAAAGGAATTGTTTGAAAAGAAATTTCTATGTTATTTTTTTGACTGTATGCTAATCTTATTCTATATTAGTTTTAAATTGTTACCTTGATATCTTCCCTAAAATCAAACGGCGAACGCTAGGTTTGCCCAGGCCGGGCTCACCGATCATCTAGGACAACTGAGAGTCTATATTCTTTGTTTCTCCGCATCTCATCGGTCAGTTCATTGACAACAATGCTCGTTTCAGCACTCTTTTCGAAGCTCTATTCAATCAGTTTGTCACGTTGGGCACACCCACAGAATTAAAACGATAAATGCTATCTTCAAAAAAAAATTTACTTGTGTACTCCTCTAGGCCTAATTAGACTGCCTACCCCCCTTTTTTTTTTTTTTTATAAAAACTCCGACTTTAAAAGGTAGCGTGCCGGAAAGGGTTAACAGACCGTACATGGAAGTCATGTGATGCCCAGATCAGATTTTTTTTTTTTTTTTTTTTTGTGTGTGTGTGGTGTTGAGTACGTAACGTACTTGATGAAATTTTATTAAAATCAATGTTGCTTTTAAAATGAAATATCTTTTACGTAGCATGTTATTAGTAAATATTTCTCAACAGTAAGATCCCTCTAAATTATTGATTTATTACTTTGTGACATTACAATAGCCTTCATTTCTGTATTATGCTTTAACCATATGTTCACTCATTCTCATAAATTTGCTGATGATGAAATAACGTAGAATGTAAACATGTTTACTGAACTATACCGATTCTGTAAGTAATCAACTCTCGCTGTTAAGTTTTAAATGAAGCTATACGTAAACGTTTAATTAGAATATGTAAAGCTCGGTAAAAACTATAAGGAATTGTAGCAGGTAATCTTACTTTCACTGAAATTTTATGTAAAAAGTAAAATGCTTAAAATATGTTATCCGTTTCCAAGCATGTGATTTGAATTTTCATTATTTTATCTAAAACTAAAATCAAGGTTTCTTCACTTCGGATCCCTCTAGGATATGAAATGTGATGAGATATGTAGCTTTGAACATTTACAAAGGATTTAAGTCATATAGTGCAAATAACATAAAAAATCAGATTAAGTTGAAAAAAAAAATCACATATTGCTTTCAGATCTATGCAAAACAATCCATTAAATAATTAGATACATTTAGTAAATAATCATTCTTTCTGTTTTAAATATTGGGTAAGTGAAAACGTTCTACCCGTTTTCATTACCCATAATGAAGAGCAAATAAACGCAAAATGAACACTACCTATTATTGTGCATAATCCTCATTTTTATCTATGACCTCTTGCCATATTTCTGGTAGGAGATGTATCCCACGTCGGTAAAATTCTAGCGGTTTCGAGTCAAAAAATTCTTGATGACAGTTTTCACAGAATCAAGATTATCAAAGATTTTCTGACTGAAGGAATTGTTTAACGCACGAAATAGGTGATAGTCAGTTGGTGCCAAGTCAGGAGACTAGGGAGAATAGAGTAAAACCTCCCAACCGAAACCGAGTAACTTTTGCCGAGTGATGATAGCTGCATATGGTCTGGCGTTATCTTGATGAAGGATAACACCGCGACATTTAACGAGACCTGGCCGCTTTGTTACGAAATTTGAATGCAACCTGTCTAACTGTAGACAGATGAAGGCAGCAGTGATGGTTTGGTTAAGTGGTAGGACCTCCCAGTGAATTATTCCCTGCAAATCCCACCACACGCTCAATAACACCTTCTTGGGGTGAAGTTCGGCTTTCGAAGTTGATGCAGGCGGATCAGAAGGTTGACACACACTCCTATGGAGTTTTATGTTACGGTACATAACCCCACTTCTCATTTCCTGTCACAATTCGTGTCAAGAATGGACATTTTTTTGTACCAGGAAAGCAGGGAAACACAGGTGGCGATTCGGTCATCCTGTTCATTAGCTGTCAGGTTATGTGGAACCCAATGATTCAACTTTCTCGTAAAACCCAACTTAACCAGCTGTCTCTCGACCATTCTCCGGTGTACGTTGTAGGTCTCCGTTAATTCTTGCACGGTTGGATTCGGGTTGCCTTATTAGCTTGGTCAATATTGTTTTCTCCAATGTGTGATGGCCGTCCACTCCTAGCCTGATCTTGGCAGCTTCTGTCTCTTTCTCTAAATTTACGAAACCATCGACGACATGTGCTTTCGTCTACTGCATTCTCCCCGTAAACTTCACAAACATTGCGACATGCTGCGGCTGCCGTACTCTTTTTATCGAACTCGTATAACAAATATTGTCTTATATGATCCTTCTCGCTTTCCATGTTACACCTTCTGAGATTATTTTGAGATGATTAACTAGATCAAGATCATCCTTTTCATAATCTAGGTTACAATTACATATAAGTTTTAGCCTATAGTTCAAATAAGGCCGGAGGCCGCTCACTTTTAATTAAATTCAGTTAGGGTGCTGTAGCACCGCGCCCGCAGGCGATAATGAAGAGTTGGTAAGTGATACGAGGAAGATATTCTTAATAGTTGAATTAATTCACAGTAAAACATAT